CCTGCACACGTTGCCGCTATTCAGATTGAAGGGATGAATCCACTACTCAAGGGACTCTTCACACACGGGTACACCATCGACCCCGAAATTCCCTTGGCAGAAAAGCGACATCTGCTACAGTGGGACAGTGACATCGCGTACCGGAAAGGATCAACGAAAATCTGGGTACCAAATTACCCTCCTTTGCGCCAGTTACTACTCGAAGAATACCACGACGTCCTGTACGCCGGACACTTCGGTAGCAACAAGACGCTCACCGGTATCGCCAAACACTACTACTGGCCCCACATGGCAAACGACGTCCAGAAATTCGTCACCTCGTGTGATACATGTCAGCGGATGAAGAGCAGCAAGCAGAAAAAGGCGGGACTACTGCAGCCTCTTCCTGTCCCAGAACAGCCATGGCAAGTGGTTAGCCTAGACTTCATCACCGGGTTACCACCTACCACCAGCAGTCATGACGCAATCCTTGTCGTCATTGACAAGTTCTCCAAAATGGGACACTTCATCCCGGCACACGCGACGGCACGCACCGAGGAGACAGCACAGCTCTTCGTTCGATACATCATCTCACAGCATGGCATTCCAACCACACTCATTTCCGACCGAGACCCCAAGTTCACCAGCAAGTTCTGGAAGGAACTTATGTCTCTTCTCGGGACCAAACTCGCCATGTCATCTGCATACCATCCGCAGACAGACGGACAGACCGAACGCCTCAACCAAATTGTTGAGCAACTCCTCCGAGCAGCCTGCAAGGACGAGATCTCCAAATGGGACTTGCACCTGCCCGTACTACAGTTTGCTTACAACAATGCTACACATGCCGCTACGGGACAGACGCCGTTCTTCCTCTGCTACGGACGTCACCCACTCACACCACAAAAACCGACCACATCCGCTACGGTACAACCTGCACATGATTTCATCACAACCATGCATCAGCTTTGGGATCGGACCCACAAGCGCCTCCTCGACATTCAGCAGCAACAAAAACGCCAGGCTGATCGCCATCGCAACGACCACACCATCACGGTGGGAGACCAGGTGCTCCTTGACACCCGCAACCTGGATATCAGCCACCTCCCATCTAAACTTCGACCTCGCTTCTGCGGGCCTTTTCTCGTTGAAGCACAGGTCACTCCTGTTACCTTCCGCTTACGCCTGCCAGCTACCTGGAAGATTCACAACGCCTTCCATGTCCAACTTCTGAAGCCCTATCGGGATCCGAACACGATCTTCGTCGGACGCCAACCGCCGCCGCCACCGCCCGTCCTCGTCCAGAATGAACCCGAGTACGAGGTCGAGTCCGTGCTAGCACACCGCCGACGTCGGAATGGTACCGTGGAGCTTCTCATCCGTTGGAAGGGTTATGATCCTTCTGAGGACAGCTGGGTCCCTGAGTCCGACATGGGTAACGCCCGTCGTCCTCTGCATGACTACCTTGTCAAGCAGGGTGTTACTTCTACCACCCAGCTTTGAGGGGGGGAAGTGTGAGAGTACGACCCCGTTACACCACTTGTCCCTTTTCTTATTTCCTTCCTCGTTCATTTCTCTTTATCTCATCTCATTTGGTTTCCTATTCTCCATTCTTCCATTATCCTTTGGATGATCCTGCTATTATAATTATATCACCGACCAGGCTTGGGATGTACTGGCATATTATCCAGCGTAATCCTGCCGTAATCCCTTAAAGCCAATAGCCTCGCGTGGCTATACGCAGGGTGATTCTATCTTCTAGAAGGGTCTATTCCCTTAGGATAAGATAAACCTGGTTACCTGATGTACTTTGGAAGTATAAAAGCGCCTTGTACTCATCGATAGTGCAACCTTTCCTCGACACATTCGATCCTGTGACATAGCAGCTCTCAAGAGTCGTGGCACATGGGAGTTAATACCGACATCAGAAGTAAAAGGAAGAAAGGTACTCACCGGAAAATGGGTCTTCCGTGTCAAGACTAATGCAGATGGATTGTTTGAGAAATTCAAGGCGCGATGGGTCGTTCGCGGATTCGAGCAGACTTACGGCATTAACTACGAGCTGACTTTTTCTCCCGTCGGTCGACATACAAGCGTTCGAATTCTGCTCTGTGTCGCCGCCTGCCGTAATCTACGACTTCGACAAATTGACGTTTCAAACGCTTTTCTCTACGCACCTATCGATGCACTCATTCTGGTAGAGTACTCGCACTCGTATACTACTAACCCACCGAGCGTATGCCGTCTCAGAAAGTCACTTTACGGCATTAAACAGGCACCCCGGCTCTGGCAGCAGTATCTTCACTCACAACTTATCACTGCTGGATTTCGACAACTGCCGCACGATCAGGGGATGTATCTTCTAACTAACGGCAGCAACTATATTTTACTCGTCGCCTACGTCGACGACATTCTCTACGTCAGTACTACCGATTCACTCGCCGATACTTTTATACTGAAACTACAGAAAAGTCTACAGCTTACCGTCTCCGAAACAGTCTCACAGTTTCTCGGTCTAAACATTACATGTTCACCGACGTCTATTCACCTCACTGCTTCGAAGTTCCCAGCCACACTCGCTGCTCGCTTCAACCTTACTCCTACTGCAGTCTCTACACCGTACCGCTCACTACCGACAGATCACAAACCGAAAACTGCACCATTGAGTCTAACCGGTTTACAGGTTTATCAACAGCAGTTAGGCTGTTTACTCTTCGCCGCTGTTACTTGCCGTCCAGATCTAGCCTACGCTGCTAGTCAACTCGCTCAGTTCCTATGCCGTCCTGAAGAGGAGCATCAACTCGATCTTCTCCGCGCGCTTCTGTACTTTATATCGACACCTGACGTCGGTTTAGTCTACAACGTCATCGGTTGTAAAACACTATACCTACACGGTTTCGTCGACGCCGATCACGCTGCTGACTCCACTAATCGACGATCGCGCACTGGATTTGTCTACCGCCTTGAACCTATCGGGCCTATTTCTTGGAATTCGACGAAGCAGGAGCTGATTGCTCTCTCCTCTGCTGAAGCTGAGTTCATCGCTGTCTGCACAGCAACACGCGAAGGACTTTACCTACAGGAACTCTTGGAAGAAGCGAAGTTGACGACGAGTACTCAGTTTACTCTGCAATGCGACAACCAAAGTGCAATTCGCATCGCACACCAGCCTGGCTTCGTCAATAGGACGAAACATATTTCACTGCGTTACTCTTTCGTTAAGGATGAAGTCGAGAAGGGGAGGATGCAATTGGTCTACTGTTCGGCCAACGAAATGGCTGCCGATTTCCTCACAAAGAAGCTGACACGACATAAGTTTAAGTACTGTAACAAGCTTTGCGGGATCTTCAAGAAGTGACACTATCGGACTTCCAGAAATGAAGGGGAGTGTTGTAGTATAATTCATACTTAGCATTTCTGTAAGTCGTTTATCGATAGATAGTGTCGAATCCTACTGTAGAAGATAAGTCCGTAGGATGACGTCAGCAAATAGCGCTCGTCATAGGACAGTCGTTTTAGTCACGCGAACAGTCGCACCTCTTCATTATCATCTAGGGCGCATAGTGCGATAGTGACGAACAAGTACATTAGCGAATAGGTACTTTCCTAGAGCTATAAATCCTTGTAGTGTCCTTTTTATTATTAACCTTGAGATTTCAACTTTGAAGAACTTTGAGACTTGACTTTCACAAAACTATATTCTCAGGTTCACTTTTACAAGACTTCTGTTAGAAGGCAAGCTTAGCTAGAAAGCTAGGAAAGGCATGAGGTTTAGCTAAGAGGAGCCATGGAGTGGCGTGAGGTTTAGGAAGGAGAAAAGTTGAGGAGAGAAAAGGGGTTGGAATAGAAAGAGAGAGGCATACAAGGAGGGGATTGTACCCTCTACAGTAAAGTTCGGTAACCTACCAGGCCTGACAATTATATAACTCAATATATAATTTAACACACCCCCTAGGCTTCGTAGTCACAAGCCCACACACACCCCCACACCCCCTAACCTAGCACCCCCATTCCCATCAGCCAGAACGACTCCAATAGGGCCCACAAGGCCTTTGAGATGGCGACGGCGGCAGTCTCGACCGCGGCGACAGCGACGGCGACGATGGGCGTGCAGCGGCAAAAGGCCTGCGGCGACGACAGCGGCGACGGCGACGGCCTCGGCTTACGACGGCAGTGAGTGCAGCGGCCTCCGCCCTTCCGGCGGCGTGTCCAAACTCCGCGACAGGGGGACGACCGGCGAGAGTCAGGCGGCGGCTGTGGCGAAGAGGAGGGGACAGAGGAAAGGGGGAAGGGGCGGGACTTCGGATCTTCAGCGCGGCGCCACAGGCGTCGCGCGGCCGGCTGGCGTGCGGGTGGGCAGTTTAGCGGCGCCACAGGCGTCGCGCAGCCGGTTGCAGCCTGACGCCGCCGTCACAGAGCGGCGTCGACGCTGCTGCGGGACGTCGACGCTACGACGGCAGCACGGCGGCCCGACGCCACGGCAGCGCGTCGAGACGGCAGCGGCACGACGCGGCCAGCGGCATCACGACGCCGCCACTGCAGCACAACGCGGCCGCCATGGCCGCGCGAGCGAACGAGGGCAAGGAGTACGCGGCGGAAGCGTGAGGAGGCGGTCCAGCAGGGAGGAACTCCTGCTCTAGTCCCATGTTAGAAGGCTAGCTTAGCTAGGAAGCTAGGAAAGGCATGAGGTTTAGCTAGGAGGAGCCAGGGAGTGGCGTGAGGTTTAGGAAGGAGAAAAGTTGAGGAGAGAAAAGGGGTTGGAATAGAAAGAGAGAGGCATACAAGGAGGGGATTGTACCCTCTACAGTAAAGTTCGGTAACCTACCAAGCCTAACAATTATATAACTCAATATATAATTTAACAACTTCCGCTGTCTTGTCTACCATTCCAGTAAAGATCCTAGGCTAACACTTGAGGTTTTCCAAGTGTTCATGTTTGCAGATTCTATACTTAGTCTCCTGCAACACCTGTCAAATTATTACGTACCCTACCGAAACGTTTTACTGGGCTATTTGATCCTTCCGAAATGCAATTCACCTTACTCAACCATATTCGGACCTACACATAGGACACCCTGCTGACAACTGATCTTTATTGGGAAGGAATTCCTGCGTGCTACCACCATTCCTAGGCCCCTTCTACTCGTGCAACAATCAGGAAACAAGCCACTGTATGCTCCTTACAGCAGTTAAAAATACCTCACCAGTCTCCATCATTCATGGCAATAAACGGGTAAAAGAGGCGTCCGCTAGTAGAGCGAAGCTCATTCATCAATCTACTCCAATTGGACCCAAGAGTCCCGATGAAGTAGTCGCTTTGAGCAGATATAAGTACACTCGCAAAGCTTATAGCCACGGATTGCGTGTTATCGTAATTGCGCGTATCGTTGTTCGATGCGACTTGTCGAGAGTTCTTGGAGTAGACAAATATCCAGTCCTTGTATTTGGCAATGCTATCAATCACAACCTGCGAAGGGATTAGGGGGGAGGATAATCACATACCATTAGCATCACAACATGGGAATGCCAGCTCACATGCATCATGCACACAGAACATGCGCGTGAGATGTCGGGATGCAACATCCCCCAAGAGTGTAAGTTCGTTCCCACATAGCAGCAACAACGAAGCCCCAACAAGTGTCAACAACTACACCCCTCCCACATGCCTCCCCTCTCCCCTCCCCCTCCTCCCTTCCCCTTCTCCACCCCCATACCTGTGACTCGGTGTTGAGCCACACGAGCGTGAGGTCCGGTGCAATGAGCCTGAGTTGGTTGAGGTAGAAGATGTACGAGCTGAGCGGCATCAGCTGCATCTCCTCCACCTTGTCGCTCTGCCGCACATGCAGACTCACAATCGGCCGAATCACATACGGCTCCGCTCCCACCCCCTCGAACAGCTCTTTCAAATACCCCACCCTCTTCGGCCCCTCCTTGCCACACTCCTCCCTGCTGCACGCCCCATGCGCCCAGGGAAACAGCCCATGGGCCTGCTTGAACGATCCCTGTGTGAACGGCAGGGCAGCGGCAGCAGCAGCCTGTGATGACATCTTGATGTTGCTGCGAGCTGCCTCTCCTGCTGTGTCTCCCGCCATCTCCCGTAGGATTTCTGCGCGCGTGCTGTCGAACCGGGCAAGGCGGGCGGCGACGCGGTGGCCATAGGAGGTGTGGCGCACGCGGTTGGTGACGTGGCAGAGGTAGGCGGAGGGCCAGCGTAGCATGAAGCGCACTGCCTGCGCCCGCCACCAGTGCACCTGGAGGGGTAGAGCGGGGGGGAAGAGGAGGAATGCCGAGAAGAGGGAAGGGGAGAAGAGGGAAGGAGAGAAGAGGGAAAATGAGAGACGAGGGAAAATGAGAGACGAGGGAAAATGAGAGACGAGGGAAGGAGAGACGAGGGAAGGAGAGAAGAGAAAGGAGAAACGCACCCCTGAGGAAGTTGAAGCCTGAACTTGTAACAGTGCATGCAAGTTCACTGCAAAGGCACTTCATGTCTCGTCCCACCTCCTCCACACCCCCTAACCCCCCCCCCAAACACCCACAGCACCACGCTCACCCTCGGCGGAAGCAGCACGCATGAACACAGCTTCCCCCTCTCACACCTATTTGCCCTCTCAAGCGGCCCTGCCCTGACCACAGGCTGGCTGTGTTCTACAGGCATTTGACGTTGACGTCGACGTCGACATTGAGGAAGCTCCGCAAGCGACTTTGAGAGCAATGGTTACCACTCAAACCAGGTGCACTTTCCAAACCTCGCTTGGAAGCCACGCGGCCCAATTGTGGAAAGCGCAAGCGAAAGGAGAGAGCGGCGAATTTAAAAAATGCGCAACAAAAACCTGCTGCCCCAGGGCAGCAGAGAAATATTCCGGAGCAAAATGACGATAAAATAACCTACAGTGAGGTAACATGCCCTCACAACCCCACTACCTCTCAAGAGCACCGAAGTCCATTTATCCCTCAGAGCGCAAGTTGTTTTGCAGGGCAGGCCAAAGTTCAAGAGGCGGGGTAAAGTGGTGGCACTGGTTTTTTTGGGGTGTGGAGGCCTAGTACACCCTTGCGGCTGATGTAACGCCACACGCAAGGTGAACTCCGCGATTGAGCGAACGTCAGCATTGCGTCACGTTTGCGTCAAATTTTCCAGGAAGGGAAGCGAGGGGGGTGTTTCCCTGACGTAGATGTCATCTGTACATGGACCTGTTCTGCATGCATGTTGATGTAACTAGGTTCGGGTACCTTTGTGCCAGGTTTGGACGAAATTTTGCGGGCTGACCCTCGATCCGAAGCAAAAAATCAGGCTTTCGGAAGGTGCTCTGATGTAATCTGCACTTTCCTTTTCTGCCTGCAGAACGCAGCCGCTTTGATCGAGCACGGACACAGGAATCATGTGTGCCCCTATGACGTGCATCATGTGCCCCTACCTGCATCATGCGTCCCTACCTGCATCATATGTCCCTTGTGTGACTCTGTGCCCGGTGCATGCCAAACAGCATCCGGCTGGCCCAAGTGCGGCGCGCCCCACCGCCTGCCAAGGGAATGCAAGGAGGGGAGAGGGGGGGGACTGACAGGCTCTCTTCAAAAGTGTGACACGCTTGAGACCGCGGAGTGCAAGGGAGGAAGAGGGGAATGGGAGAGGCTTGATGGGAGGACGGAGAAGGCAGGATGGGGGGTTGGGGGGGGGGGTGTGTTTGGGTGAATTTGAGAGAAAGCAATGCACTAAAGCACAGACGGGGTGGGAAAAAGAGAGGTGGGAAAGGGAGAGGTGGATGCGGCAGATATGCGATGCACTAGGATGACAATTTTGGAGGCGCCTCAAAAATTGACTCACGCATAGATATGCGATGCACTAGGATGACCCATACTCCAAACAAACGTGACTTCCGAGTCGATTATCAAGCAATCCTGTACTCAGGAATCCCCGCCTGCATGCGGCATGCTTCCACCCACCCACACGAACCATCCATTGGTGGTCACAGAGTGTGCTGGTGAATGCACTATTCTAGATGACTTTTAAATCGACTCTCAAACGGCATGCTCCCACCCACGCTGACCACTCATTGGTGATTACAGTGTGTGCTGTGCTGGCGGCATCCCACATGCCATCCTGCGGCGTAACGAAACCCGAAACCTCCTTACACTGTAACCGACACCCCCAATCCGTCCTGTCGGCCCACCCATCTCACCATGCAATGCTGGCTGGCGATTCAGGATCCTTCAACAGCATGTAGTGCACCCAAACATCTCCCTCCCTTCCCTCCCTCCCCTCCCCTCCCCCCCCCCAAAACCAATGGCACGCCATCGTGTGCAGCCACTGTCGCACGCCCTGTAAAACCGCCCCCCTTACAACCCACCGCGTGCCACGTAAAAGTCTCAGGAGCAACCCACTCCCACCCACCTTGTGATATCAGCCTGCATCTCGATCTCCCTGTACAGCATGTACCCAATGCAATGCACGCCACGCTCGCCTCTGGTTTCTGCCCTCCCGCACTACTGCCCCCAGTCAACAGCCCCCGCATACCACAACCCACCATGCAATATCAGCCTGCATCTCGATTTCCCTGTACGGCATGTATCCAATGCACGCCACTGTGTCCGCTGACTCTGCCTCCTCCCGCGCACTCTTATTGGAGCATATCAGCGTGTTGTTCGCCTTAGCCTCCCGCACCACCTGCTGGCAGCTCTCCGCTGCGAACGGGAAGAAGAAGCACTCCCACTCGCCGTACTGCCCCGCGGCTGCGAGAGAGAGACATGAACACAACCAGCATGGGCAGGAGAGGGCGTGTGGGAGGGGAGGGAATGGCGATGGGGCAACGGGGCCCTGAGAAGCGCTATCACTCCATCTATCACATGTCACCTCAGGTGAGGAGTCTATTTTTGAGGCGCCTCAACAATCGTCACCTCAGGTAAACCCAGATCCAGACAATACCACTCACCACCATTACACCCCCCCGGCACTACATACAAACGAACCACCCCTAACTGACCTTTACACCCAGGCTCTTCCGCGCGTCCATACGTCCCCGGCACGACCACGAGTGTGCGGTTGTGCTGCATGGCGACGCTCAGAAACGCGCCCATCACATGCACCTGCGACCCCACGCCGTGGCGGTTCTGCGGCGCCCAGTGCACGGCCAGCAGCCTCCTCCCAGCGCAGTTGTGCTCCGCGGGAAACTGGTTCTCCCAGATGTCCCTCTGCGCCACGCGCGTCATTGCTAAGTTCTCGTCGTCTGCACCCCGGACCTGACCGGTTTAGACCAGAGGGGGGGGGGGGTTTGAGGGGTTGGGACGGGGGCAGGGGAGTAGGGTGGGGAGGGAGTGCGGCAGCAGGGGGGGTGGGAGGGGGATGGGAGAGGGATGGGAGGGGGGTGGGAGAGGGGTTGGGAGGGGAGTGGGAGGGGGGTGGGAGAGGGATGGGAGGGGGGATGGGAGGGGGCGGGAGGGGGTGAGAGGGGGGTGGGAGGGGGGGTGGGAGGGGGATGGGAGGGGGATATGAAAGAACGTGAGAGGTGTGAAGATGGGTGCTTTTAATCAGGCGTGCCGCTGCCCAGCGAGGCAGCCTCCTCCCAGCGCAGCTCCCCTCCACGACGAACTGCTTCTCCCAGATGTCGCTCTGCGCCACCCCCCGTGTCTCGCCAGGTTCTCGCGGTCCGAGCCCCGACAACAGGAACGACGCCACAGAGATTTGAGAAGAGAGCAGTACAGAAGCTCCTCAGTTCAAAGAGGAGAATGTCACGAGGTGGTGGAAAAGTGGGAGAGGACGCGAGGGCGAGGGTGGGAGAGGAAGGGAGGGGTCGGATCAGAGAAAACGACGGGGCGAAGGTGCGACGAAGGAAGAGCACGCTGAAAGCTCACCCACGCTGCTCGCTCACCCACTTTCAACACTCACCCACTCTATAAGCTCACACACTCTATAAGCTCACACACTCTCTAAACTCACCCACGGAGGTTGCGGGTTGCATCCGCAGCAGTGAGGCGGGCGAGCCCACTCCGGCGACTCCCCATTCGCCCCGCGCTGCTCCGCGGCCTGGCGGAAGGCCGTGCGCGCCACACACTCCTCCAGGTGGGGCGCAGGGGGCACGTTGGGCGGAAGGGAGACGTTGGCGGGGGGGAGGAGGCTGTCAGCGTGCAAACCGTAGATCGACTCCCACACCTGAGGGAGAGGGGATGTGGGGAAGAGAGGGGGGGCGGAGGAGACGAGGGGGTGGTGAGAATAAGTGGAGAGGGGATGGGGGGGAGACGGGGGGGGGATGGGTGGTGGGGGGGAGAATAGGGAGTGGAGAGGGCGACTGAGAAAGGATGGATCGAGAATGAGGAACGACAACTGAACCCACGAAGTAGAGCCAGGCAGGCATACAAACCCGGCGTCGCCTGCAATCGCCCGTCTAGCACGCTACGGAGAAACCGCTAAACGCCAGGCGGCATCTGATCGTGGCCCGAAAACCCCGCGCGAGCGCCTAACACAGCTATGGAGAAACCAGTAACGGTCGGGAGAACGGTCGCTGAAGGAAACGACGAAGCCGATATAGCGACGACGGATGGGAACTGACTCGATATAGTGACGAGGGGTGGAACTGACTCGATATAGTGACATGATGTGCTCGAAGCCGGACTCCCCTCCAACGGAACGGCTGCTCGGATCGATTGGATCCGCCCGGCATTGCGCTGGCCCCTCGAAGATCAGGACAAGGACAGTGTAGAGAATCGCGAAACGCCATGATCGTCGCCCCATGACGCTTAGCAATATAGGCGGAAGGAGCAGGTTGCGAGTGTTAGCCCAGTTTTGAGAGTTTAAACCACGGATTTTTATTATTATTATTATTCTTCTCGGAGTGGTCTCGAGGAACGCGGAAGAGTTTTTTTTATTGAGAATGGCTGCTAAAAACGGTTCTAATTCAGCTGCTACGTGGTCTGATCTCCCCGTGCCCAGGCTCCATCCGCGCAAAATCACGCGTAACCCTAGAGGGCGATTCTCACATTAGCCTCTTTCAACATTTTCTAACATAACCCTCTGCAGACGTTTATCATCTCGTGGAGAAAGCACCGCGACGAGCAAGCTAGTCGAAACTGACCAGAGCTATCAACCCTGACTGGCAAGGCAAGGCGACGAGATGGCACAGGAGTGAAGCTAGGGAGTGGGTAGGTCGTGATTGATGGGTTCTCCTTGCACCAACAAACGCGGGCTGCGCTCTACACAAGCTGAACTCTAGATGTTGGATCACAGTTTCTAAATGGAAGCCGTCGGGACTAGAATGCTGTTACAGCTGGAGTGCTCAAGGAATTTGGGGGTGACGTAATAACGGGTCGTCAGCTGAACGAATCAGATAGCGCCACCACGTCATCCCAAGCGCAAACCACTAGCAACCCAGCCCCTGCGAAAAGGTCGCGAACGAATCTGGTAACCATGGAAAGTGGGCGAAGACGCCATGTCCCAGCTTTCCCAAGGCTGCCAAGTTTCAAACAGTTGGTGCCCGCGCTACAATTGACGTCCATATGGTCAGTACGCAGGATGTTGATGTCAATGTACAGCATTAATCTAATGTTGGCGCTTACACCAGGAGAGGTAGATTTGAACGGCAACAAAAACGTTGGATCATAAATTTCATTGTCTGGCATAACAACCACACTATGAACATGGTTCCATACAGAGACAACTCTTCAAGCTCTTGAAAGGTACATGTTGGGCACTAAATAGACAAGGTCCTAACCGCTAGGGGGAAAAGGGAAGAGCGAGAATTTCCTATGAAAAACATCAGCACTGTGGTGGCAGAATGGTCACCATGACCAAGGCAAGAAGAAGCTTCCATCATGAGGCGGAAGGTGTTGGGCTGAAAAAAGCCCTTAGGATCTTTCCAGAGACTAAGTCCCAGTTGAGGAATGAGACTTTGAGTAGTGCAGCGGAAGTTGAGGCAGTTGAACCCTTGTACTAGTATATGTGAACAAGTGATTGATTAAGAAAGCAAGCATACAGCAATATATAGAAAATAGGAAAGTAAAGCAGTTGTAGAATACAGTTGTAGGAGCGGTTTATCGAGTCGCACAGCGACTCGATTGTCGCTTCGGTTACCATCCGCGCTGTTGTAACGGTCAGTCGCAACCTCCGGTTGCGACACTTCGAGTCCTTTCGTGTTCTTTGTCCATCCCCTTCATGTAACCTCCGTTGACTCGCGTACTCGTTACGATCTTCCTCGAGTGTGGTGCTACACTTCAGAAACGCTGAAGTCCTTGAGATATTTCCAACACTCCCCTTCGTTTCTGGAGTGCTGACGTGTTCAGATCCGGTGATGTTTGTCTGCCCGGTCAGCAGCATGCAGTAATCGAATTTCGCCTTCGCCAGTTTCTTCGTCAGGTAGTCTGCGGCCATTTCTGTTGTAGGGCAGTAACTGAGTTGAAGTCTCCCCTTCGCGATTTCATCTTTGACGAAAAATTACCTCAGGGCAATGTGCTTGGTTCGGTTGGCGAAGCCGTCCTTGTTCGCGATTTTGATCGCAGATTGGTTGTCGCAGAGGAGTAAGAAGACGGGCAGGGTCGCAATCTTCGCTTCCTCTAGCAGCTCTCGTAGGTAGAGTCCTTCCTTGGTCGCAGTACAGAGGGCGATATATTCTGCTTCAGCCGAAGATAGTGCGATTAGTTCCTGTTTACTCGACTGCCAGGAGATAGTTCCGATAGGTTCTAGTCGGTAGATGTAGCCCGTTCTCGATCGTCGATTTTCTTTGTCTCCCGCGTGGTCGGCGTCGACGTATCCGAGTAGTCGTACGGACGGTGTCGTTACTTTGCTGTAGGTGAGCCTGGTCGTCGGCGTGGAGACGAAGTAAAGTAGTGCCCGATTAAGTTCCTCGAGATCTTCTTGTTCCGGCTGCTTCAGATGCGTCGCCAGTTGGCTCGCACTGTAAGAGAGATCGGGTCGGCAGGTTACTCCTGCGAATAGTAGGCAGCCGAGCTTCTGCTGATACTCCTGGATTTGCTTCGCGGGGAGTTTTGCGGAGGTGCTGTTGTTGTTCCCATAGCGGTAGGGAGTCGGGGCCGTAGTCGGTGTTAGGCCGAATTTCTTCGCGACAGTGCCTGCGTATTTTCAAGCGTGTAGGTAGAGCGCTGAGTTGTCTTCGACGACATTCAGTCCCAGGTACTGGGTCACTGCGTCGGCCACCGTGAGTGTCAAGTCCTCTTTCAGCTCCCCTTCGAACCAGGTGGCGATGTCAGTAGTGGAATCGATGTAGAGCAGGTCGTCGACGTAAACGATGAGTAGGATATATTCTCTTCCCTTTTGCAGTCGGTACATGCCTTGGTCATGCGGCAGCTGTAGGAATCCAATTTTTACGAGGCGACCGTGAAGATGCTGCTGCCAGAGCCGCGGGGCTTGCTTGATCCCGTATAGGGATTTTACCAGCTGGCATACTTTCGTGGGGTCGTCGATGAATCCGTGGGGTTGCTCGACGAAGATCTCAGCGTCCACGGGTGCGTACAGGAAAGCGTTTGCGACGTCGATTTGGCGCAGTGGTAGTTTCTTCGTGGTCGCGACGGCGAGTAGGATGCGCAATGAGGTGTGACGGGAGACTAGAGCGAATGTTTCTGTGTAGTCGGTTCCGTATCGTTGATCGAACCCTCGTACGACCCATCGAGCTTTGAATCGTTCGGTGGAACCGTCCGCATTGGTCTTGATGCGGTACACCCATTTTCCCGAGAGGACGTTCTTCCCCTTGATGCTTGTTGCAGGTACCAGCTTCCATGTATTTCGGTCTTGCAGAGCCTTTAACTCCTTTTCCATCGCCTCCTTCCATTTCACCTTATGTTCCCCCCCCCAGAGCCTGCGACAGAGTCGAGGGCTCGCGCGGAGATGGCGGCGGCGGATGCTGGACGGAGACCCATAGGCCGAGTATCTGCAGTCCCGTTGGTGTGTGTCGAGGGGAGTTTTCATTCCTGGAATAGGCTGCTTCGTCACCGTCTTCTGGATCAGGTAAGAAGTTTGGGCCGATGCGTTCTGAAACATTCGTTTCGACCGGGTGGGGTGTAGCGTAACCTTGGTCAGCGAAGTGGTAAAAGGTGTCGAGGTTGTTGCTATCGAGAGGATTGTCTTCATCGAGTGGGACAGGTACGGAACAGAAAGGGAGTGGTCCGGCAGCTTCCGAGGCTCCAGGTACGTCTTCTTCTGCTGCGTCAGCCTCGGCAGCACGGTCGGCGAAGGAACGAAGGCCCGCGAGGCCGTCGGTGGGGTCTCGTGTGTTGGCAATGTTGTCCAGGTAATGCTGCAGCGTCAGTCGCTCGTAGAAGATAACATCATGTGATGCCACCGTATTCTTGTCGTGTGTGTCGAGGATTTTCGATGCGTGAAAATGTTTGGCGATGCCGAGGTGTAGTCCCCACCGAGCTCGTTGAGTGAAGCGTCCTGCTCGGGCTGTGTGGGGTCTGTACTGTACCATGCAACCAAAAACTCGAAGTAATTTTGTGCTGCCCCTTTTTCGTGTCCACAGCAGATGCGGTGATGCGTTGTTGGGGAGCGATGACGAGGAGAGCAAATTGTGCAGGTGGACTGCATGGGTCATCGCGTCTGGCCACAGTGCGTTGGGCAGTCTCATCCCCAGGAGCAGCTTCCGCATCGTCGTCTGCAAGGTCCGGTTCATTCTTTCTGCGACCCCCTGTTGCTGGTGAGCATAGGGTAGAGACACAAGGCGTCTGATTCCTCTTTCCGCCAGATAGGTCCTGAAGCGTTGTGACTGGTATTCCAGTGCACCGTCTGACTGGAAGCTCTTGAGCTTGGTTCCTGATTCTCGTTCGGCGATGGGGAGCCATGTCGTGAAGGCGTCAAAGGCTTGATCGCGCGTCTTGAGGTTGTAGTGCCAAACATATCTTGTTGCTGCATCGATAAAAGTGATGACGTAGTTGAAGTCGGCCTCCGTGTCGTCTCGAGGCATGTTTAAGATGTCGCTGTAAACTTTTTCCATCGGTGTATATGCAGGCGCGCTTGGATTGTGATGTGATGGGAAGGGTTGATGGGGAAGATCTGCTTCGGGGCACGTGAAGCACCGTGCGCGAGGTCTTCGAAGTTCTTGGCCGCTTGTTGTAAGAAGAGCGTTTCGTTCTATTACTTCGGCTTGGATTGTTTGTAGTACGGTGCTGTTTGCAGGATGCCCAAGGCGTTGGTGCCAGATGTCGTCGGAAGCTCGATGGCCGGGCGAGCGTTGGTACATGTCGGTGTTGGAGAAGAACGCGACGACCGTGGCAGGACTTCGGCAGACTTCTCGTGTGATGGGTATAAGTTGATCTGCTTCAGTTGGCAGTCCGCGGATCGCTGGTGGTGGTACTCGGCTGGGTCCTGCTGCTGCTACTGCAGGTGATGGTTGGGAAGGGACACTTGCTGGTACTTGTCTTTCTTGTCTGATGACTGCTAATGCTCGTGTTCTCTCTGCTGCAGGTATGGTGTTGGAGTACCAGAATCCATCGGGGTTGAAGTCGGGATCAAGATCCGGCGGGTGTGTCCAGGCGGCGAACGACACAATCCCATCGCTGTCGGCAGTACCGCGGTCGGGGACGAAGTCCAACACGAAGACGCCGGACTTCAGGAGAGCACGACCGATGAAGAGACCGCCCTTCCCGTGGTAAAGGCGAAACCCGTTGGAGTAGGAGTCGCACTCCATGTGAATCCCTTTTGCCATTAGCTGGCTGACGCTTAGTAAGTTGTATCCCAGGTTGTCGACGATGAGGACCTTGTTGAGTTGAAGTATAACGTTTGTCTCCATGGATTGTAACTGAACCACTCCTTGTCTGTTTGTTTTCAGATTTTCGTTGTTGACGACGGTGATGATGACGTCACGGGTGAGGCGTCGCTCTCGTTGCACGAAGCGCCCGGAAGAACACATATGTTGACCGTAGCAGCTGTCCAAGAACCAGGTGTTTCGCCCGGTGGGTTCGGCGTTGGCGACCGCAGCGTACAGTGGCGGATTAAATTGCCCGGATGTTTAGCACTTTGAAACAGCACGCTATGCCACACATGTTTCGAAAATAGTAACACCCGGTTTTTTCCATTCCGTTACAAGGTTTCCGAGTTCTGCTTCAACCGTTTCTTGCTTGGCGCAATTGTGTCACAACCTGAAAGTGGGGTTGAAATTTACTCCTCGACAGTCGATGCGGACATTTCCAACCGAGCGGAAGAGTAGATCTATTTTCCCCCGTCACTCAGTGTGTACATCGTAACGCGCAATAGTTTCTGGCTTAAGAGTTAGTCCGGAAGCGAGCCTACGACCGCATCGCCATGAAGCCGTTAACTGAGCGGAAACGCGCGCGAATCAGAAGCATGTTGCGTGCGGGCCATTCGACTAGGAAAATAGGCAAAGTTCTTGGAATAGGCAAGAGCACTGTGCACGATTACAGTTTGAAAGTGGCTGCCGAGACTAGTCTCGAGGAGGTGCGACCTACGATGCCTTCGGCCGGCCGCCCTCGCTTAATCACTACCCGTCTCCAGCGCGGAATAGTACGCGCGATTACAAGCGGCGAGGCGAAAAGCTCTGTAGAAGCGGCAAATATGTTGTTGGAGAAGCACGGTCTCGCCGTAGACTCGAAGACGGTCCGGAACTCATTACAATCCGCGGGGCTGATCGCCGTGCATCAGCCCAAGAAACCCAGGCTCTCACCGAAAAACATCCGAGATCGTCTCGACTTCGCGCGGTCGCATGCCGACTGGACGCTGGAGGACTGGAAGCGGGTGATTTGGTCTGACGAGACAAATATAAACCGCTACTGCTCCGACGGACGTGCGTACGCCTGGATTCACGAGGGCACCAGCCTTCGGAGCCACCAAGTCCAACAGACAGCTAAGCATGGGGGCGGTTCTGTGATGGTGTGGGGTTGCATGACGTATGAGGGGGCGGGGTTCATGTGCAAGATAGATGGCAGGATGGATGGGCCGCTGTATCGCAGCATCTTGCAAGATGAGCTCAAACAGACCATCGATTTTTTCGAGCTTTCCCCCTCAGAGGTCATTTTCCAGCACGACAATGATCCCAAGCACAGGTCTCGTCTGGTCCAAGATTGGCTTGGGGAGAAGGAGTACGCGGTGCTGGAATGGCCGTCGTGCTCCCCGGACCTTAACCCGATTGAGCACCTGTGGGCATACTTGAAAAGGCAGCTGGGGAAGTACGAAAAGCCGCCAAGGGGAATGCTGGAGCTGTGGGAGAGGGTGCAGGAGGAATGGGATAAGATACCGGCGGAGGTGTGTGCAAACCTGATCGACAGCCTGCCGAGGAGGATCAAGGCAGTGGTTCGGGCAAAGGGACGCTGGACTAGGTACTAGTTTTCCTAGAATCTAGTATGATACCTTTTTCCGGTACAAATTGTCCACATGTTCTCCTATGCTATGCTTAGGTGTTTAAGGACCATGTGTGGTACTACTTTGGTGTTTGTCAACTCGAGTGTGTGCTGTAACTGAACTTCTCAGCGTGTATGCACATCATACATTAAGGCTTAATGTTTACGCCGCTGCACTCATCAAAATGCCAAAAAAGGCTGAACATGTGGACAATTTATTCCGCCACTGTATGTCGGGTTGACCTCAAGTCCTTGTGAGCGCGGCGGCGGAAGTTCTTCTTCGTCTGGTGCGTAAGTGGGTGGTGATCCGGGTGCGCAGTTGTCGATGTGTACCATGCAGTTAATGATGTTCGGTGTCCCTTGTGCAGATGTGGAAGAGCGCCTTGGAGGGCTTTCTTGAGTGGAGGCGACGTGTGGGTCTACTGGACGATAAACACGAGGACGTGTGCAGTTGACTTTGGAATGTCCGGAAGTCTGACAGTTGTGGCAGAACGGTGGCACGAAGGTGAGTCCTCTGTTGTCGCGTTGATCTTGTTTGCCGCGTCGATTGTAGTTGTTGTCGTTCCTTCGTTGAGTGTAGAAAACTAACTGCTGCTGCTTCCTTGGTTGTCTTTCTTCGAACAGGTCCATCTCCTGTTGTTCAGCGTGAAGCTCGGCGCAGAGGTGCATCTCCGATATCCTTCCGTGGGCGCGAAGAAGCGAGCGTGTGGTTCTCCATTCTGGCCCGAGCCCGGCGAGGACAAGCGTCACAAAGCTTTCTTCAGTGATTGTTCCTCCGCACCGAAGCAGGCGGTCGCGGAGTGTTTGGCATCGACTCATATACTGCATCGCCTTTTCCCCGGTCTTCATCTGTATTTTGTTAGCTGTTGCATGAGTCTGCTTTGTGTCACGCTGTCGTTTGCTTGATAGAGACACTTGAGATGATGCCATGCGAGTTCCGCGGAGTTTCCGTAGCTCCGATACGTTCTGATGCTCTGCTGTTCTTGTGGCGACAGGTTCCGCAGGAGAACTGTATACGCCAGCAGCGACTGATACGTAAAGATTTCTTGCTCCTTTCCAGTGCCGTTGCTTGGGAATGGCAGGGACCCGTTGAAGTATCCCAAGAGATGCGCAGCCTCCATCAGCAGCTCGAACTCAAAACTCCAGGTAAAGAAATCGTGTCCGTTGAATGGTGAGGATGTCTGCAGTTTAATCACGTGTGAAAACTGCGCCTGGAGGCTTAAAATCTCGTTTGGTTTCTGTTGTGATGCAGCTGCTGTTGGTTGGGCACGGGGCGGCATGAACTCGAACGTCCCCGGTGAAGAGTGATAAGGCGCAAAGGTAGGCGCTTGATTGTGTCGCCCGAACGATGAGTTGTCAAGGCTCATCGGCGCTAATCCCATGTTTCCTCCGTTGCTTTGTGTTGAATGCGCAGGTGTCCTTATCTGCTGCTGCTGGTCGAAGTGCGACATGAAGCTGAAGAACCTTTCCATAAGGTTCGGATCCACGCTTGAAGAGGGTGATGGAGTCACCATTTCCGGTGCTCTTCCTGTTGTTTCTTGAGCAGCGCCGGTCTCGGTTTGCAGTCCTGATGTATGCAATCCAGAGTTGCCAGGTTGAATGTCTTGGGCACTGGGTGAGCCCGTAGAGATTTTCTTGCCCTTGCTGTCCATGACTTGTAGTCAATGAAGTCGTTGAATTGCAGATTGTAGATAGAGCGTAGTTGCTGGGAGTTTGGTCTCTGACCAGCTCTCATACCATGTTGGGCTGAGAAAAGCCCTTGGGATCTTTCCTGAGACTAAGTCCCAGTTGAGGAATGAGACTTTGAGTAGTGCAGCGGAAGTTGAGGCAGTTGAACCCTTGTACTAGTATATGAGAACAAGTGATTGATTAAGAAAGCAAGCATACAGCAATATATAGAAAATAGGAAAGTAAAGCAGTTGTAGAATACAGTCGTAGGAGCGGTTTATCGAGTCGCACAGCGACTCGATTGTCGCTTCGGTTACCATCCGCGCTGTTGTACGGTCAGTCGCAACCTCCGGTTGCGACCCTTCGAGTCCTTTCGTGTTCTTTGTCCACCCCCTTCATGTAACCTCCGTTGACTCGCGTACTCGTTACGATCTTCCTCGAGTGTGGTGCTACACTTCAGAAACGCTGAAGTCCTTGAGATATTTCCAACAGAAGGAAACATTCTCATTGTGCACCATGGTCTCCCATGACGCGCTCAAGCCATTGTGCTGCCGTCCAGCTACCTTCTCGTCGATCACTCTACACTCTGCATTTCCACCATTCCTGCCCATTCCCTCCCGCTTGCATCCCACGGGCTCTCCAACTCAAGATCCCGCGAGCCCCCTAGCCTTGCCACGGCAGACTCGATGCTCAGCGCATCTTGATGCTTCTGTTTCACGGACCTGCCACCACGACAGCCTTCTCCTTCAAAATGCGCCTGCTGCAAAGCGCTCACATTGTAAACGCCGCTGAAGGGATCGACCCATCGTGAAACAGATTCTAGCGAAGAGCCACTGCCAGTGGAGCCTGGTTCGAGATGCTGCAGCCAAGAGCCCGAGCCCGAGGTTTGGATAGAAGCGCCCGCGCCTGGCGTTCGGAAGGAGGTTGGGGACGACTCTGCTGGCCATTCTTGTTGGGGCATGGACTTGGTCCAGGCCATTCCGTGATGTCGAGAATCGTTGTCATTTTCTTTGACGGAAAAGCGCGGAGGCCATCGATCGAGGCTGCTTGTATCGGAGATTGGCGTGGGCGACGTAGTAACACTTGTGGGGCTCAGGCTCGGAGCAAAAACGCCTGAGTCGAACGGCTGGCGCAGGTATTCCCTCGGCGACCCCTCGCGCACGGAGTCACTCGACGACGGCTCGCCGTCGTGCGACTTGACGAGCGACGCTCGCGGAGAAGTCGCACAGATCCTCGGACGGCTGTGGTCGTGGGCGTGATGATGGCACGCGTGCCGGGTGGCGGAATGGGGTAGCGGAGGGCGAGGAGCACGGGGCGACGATGACAGGACGCATGAACCGTCACGGTCTTTCATCTCGCGGTGACCGTGCGAGGCCGTAGCGATAGAATGCCGGGGCGTGAGATGATATGTCTCGCCTGAGGCCAAGCGACGGTGCGGATGGAGCGGCGCGAATTCTCCGTTTGGTGAAGAGCGAAACATATTGTGGTGCGGGAACTCTCGCAGGACGTCGCTGGCGACAAGGATTGGAGCGTCGTAGAGTCGCACAGATCCATCCGGCAGCAGCACGACGATGGAAGTGGCGTCCATGTGACTTATTTCATCCTCAGATAGGTGCGGCGTTGTACGATGAGGCGCGGTAACCTTGCAGGCGCCTGGCAAGATAACGGAAGCAAAAGGATTTTTCATGTTTGGAGTGATTCAGCGGCCTGAAAGATTGAGTGACGGTTCTCTAATCAGAAAGCCGTTTAGGATCAGGGAACTAGGTGCTCCACTGGAGGACAGAGACTGATTCAAGGCAGAGGATGGATTTGTGACAGGGGGTAGGACCAAAAGGCTCTACACTTATATCGCGATTATTTTACACCTGATAATTTCACACATTTTACTAGTTTCCCTGCGTAAATTTGACTACAGTGCGAAGGTAAGTTCCGAGGGTATACAACGTGCATCCTACTCGCACATTGACGCCCTCCCCGGGCTAGTGGGGATCAATAACCGAGGAACCCACTTAGACAACGCGTACCCTCAATTCCCCTAATGCGTCTGGGCAGATGAGCAAGATTCTGCGCAACCCCTCTAAGCTCGACCATTCGTACACTCTAGACTCCTCTGGCCATGGGTGTTTAGGAAGTGCGACTCAGAGGGTGTGAAATAATCGCGATACAGGTGTACCAGGACTTGGTCCAAGCAGGGAGAGTGGAAGGAGGGGTGCTGCCTTGTTTCAAAAGAGACGACTGCATGTGGTGGGGCGGAACAGATTGCAGCAAGGACAAGTTCCATTCTGCACCTTGGTCTACTCAGCGTGGGCCCACAACACATGCTGCTGGATTGATGTCAGAGGAATGGCCCGTCAACCCAGCACCAATGCCAGAAGCAAGCGCGCAAAATGTACACGCAGGCGGAAGGCACCCACCCAACGTCCTGTACAGCGGGTATGCTCTATGCTCCAGATCCGCAACTCGCAAATATGGACTACGACGAGTAGGAGCGGTACGCAACGGGCAAAATGGATAATAGAATAGCACGAGTGATTTTAGGTGGGGTGGCGTAGGCCGTTTTACTCGTTTTGTTCACGATGAGTGCCTTGGCGTATTGGCCACTTGGGCCAGGTTACCAGCGATTTCGCCGCGTGTCATGTGAGGGCTCATATGGCCTCTTCAAAAACGCTCAGCGAATTTGTCGTCTGGTCAGAATTACCGCAGACAAAGTAACACCTCGTTCTCGACCTTCCCACAAGCAGCGCAGGCTCAAAATGCGCAAAACAAATAATTTGGAAAACCCTTTTCGTGGTCTCACGAAAAGGGCTAAACGGAACGAAATTTTGACGACTGAATTGAGCGGTTTCGTTAACCAACCACACGTTTTTACGAAAGCGAAAAAACCCCCTTCAGAAAATCATTCTCGAAATGTGCAGTTGTTAATGATGATTGAGGGAACGAGGGTCGTATTTTCGTATTCGGGACGGACCAGTTCGTGTCACGTGGGAAGCCAGAATATTTACGTGATAGGTTAAAAAAAATGGAAAACGCCTCGAATGCTCTTGACACGAGGATTAGAATAGGACCGTAATCGTAAGGCGGAATGGATGAAAAGGGGGTACGTAGGCATGCTCATGCCAGCGCGCATGCAAAAGGCCAGGTGGACGAGGGTACTAGCAGGCTGTCTGCGATTTTGTGTTCGCCCCCCGGTCCGTCATGATTACGTAGCATCGCCCTAGCAAGCGCGTATTGGCCGGGCAATACCAAGCACAATTCACTGGGATTTTCCGATCTCGCACTCGCGGGTTGGTTGGCGAAGCTCGCATGCTGAGATCGCAACCAATTCTGGTGGTGCGAATCGATGGTCGGTTGCATTATGCGACTGTCATGATTGGTCACTATGTTTATCGCATTTTTTTAGCGAAGTCTAACAGTAGATCTATACCGTACAGACGGAGTACATCGTGGTGGATCGTATCGAATTCCGGACGTTAGAGTATTATATGGAGTACAATGTCATCGACCTAATGGCATACCCGCTGTTTATCATTTCCCTGGACCATGAATGCGTAGACATGGAGTATATTTCTCGCCTAACCTTGCCATTTTAAGGCTATTTTCAGTCAAACCAGCAACTACCTGTATCTAAAACAATAATGTTGTGGCTGTTTATCTCTCTCGGTTTAATGCTCTGGTTGTTCTTGCAACTTAATTTCTTCTTCATCTACTGGAATTGTTATAGCTGAAGCGAGGAAAGGCATGTAAATACCCATCAGAAAGTTAAACATGCTTGCATACAGTTAACCATGTTTCACATACTAGAAGATTAAGCTGCCCCTCTATGTTCGGAATTTGCTAAACTGTACTTCGTATTACTGTTCTTGAGACCTTCAGGGGTACTAGCAAATATCGAAATCTGCTCCTGACATTCCAGGATGATTTGCGACAAGTACGTACAGTACAAAGTTTGGATGGTGTGAAATCGGGGAGTCGGACATGCAAAATCTGGTGCAGCCACCAATTGAAGCAAGGGCTGGGAGAACTCTGTGTGCGTCATATATGCAGTACACAAGCTGCATTCACTACACCCTAAACTCCATACGGTAAACTCACGTAGGATCAAAATCACGTACCGCCAATGACGAAATCAGCTTCTTATCAAATTGCGTCCGCGCATTTTCGAAGTGAACCGTACCGAATGTGGCTGTACTTAGTGCAACAAATGACGGAAACGGGTAAAACCAGCCCCTTTCCTCAAGACCCTTTTCTCGCACCCCACATTTTCCTTGCTGTTTTGGTTGGGTCCATTGTGGTTTGCGATTCCATTTTGTTTATGTGTGACCCTCACCATGGCATTTGACCGTTCAGCTCCTGGAAAATACCTCGAAACCTAGGCAGTTGCGTATTGTCAAATTTCGCAAAAAACAAACGCACTTGTTCTACCCAAAACATTTAACCATAACGAGGTCAAAAGTGTAAGCTTTGCACTGCACTTCAGACTGTCGAAACAAAAGTGCACGGTTGCTTGTACAGTATTCGTACTGTACCGCGTTGTTTGACCGCAGGAAACTGAGAGATAACAAGGCTCGACGTACAGTAAATCGTCGGATGGGTTGCGTATGTCAACATTTTTCCTCACACAATTTGAATTCGCATTTTTCCTGTTTAAAAGTGGAGAATGGCACAGCGAGTAACTGTGCTGACCTGTACTCGGTTAGCTTTCTTGGGCAGAGCGAATACACCCCTGCAAGGGTTTATTGGTGCTTCTTCTTGTTCCTGCCTTGTTCTTGCTCGTTGAGGTAGTCCCTCCCTGCTCACGCCTAGTACTTGCTCACACCTAATCCTTGCTCCCACGTACCGTAGTCTTAGTTCACACTTATTTCCTTGCTCATACCTAGTCCTAGCTCGAAACTAGCTCTTTTCCCTAACCATGCCTAACTACCACCTAGGCCATAGCAGTTGCCGCCTGGTTGCATGTTGCTGGCGCGGAGCCCGTAACCCGTTTCACGCTGGCGCCTTGCACACTGGCGCCTTATGCATTGGCGCCTTGCGCGCTGGCGCGTTTCGCGCAGGCGCAATTCTCGGCGGCGCGCAAGGCGCCGGCGCGTTTCGTGCTGGTGCGTTTTACGCCGGCGCCTTGCACGCTGGCGCGTCACGTGCTGACGCGTTTTGCGCTGGCGCGTTTCGCGCTGGTCCGTTTTGCGCTGGCGCCTAACACGCTGGCGCCTAACGTGCGACAACACTGCAGGTGAGCTCTAGTCCCCCCGTTCCTCCCCCTTTGCCGTCTCCCCTCCGTTCCTCCCCCTTTGTCGTCCCCCCTCCGTTCCTCCCCCTTTGCTGTCCCCCCTCCGTTCCTCCCCTTTTGCCGTCCCCCCTCCGTCCTCCCCCTTTGTCGTCCCCCTCCGTTCCTCCCCCTTTGCCGTCCCCCCTCCGTTCCTCCCCTTTGCCGTCCCCCTCCGTTCCCCCCCTTTCTCGTCCCCCCTCCGCCCTCCCCCTTTGCCGTCCCCCTTCCGTTCCCCCCCCTTTGTCGTCCTCCCTCCGTCCCTCCCCCTTTGTCGTCCCCCCTCCGTTCCTCCCCCATTGCCGTCCCCCCTCCGTTCCTCCTCTTTTGCCGTCCCCCCTCCGTTCCTCCCCCTTTGTCGTCCCCCCTTTCTTTCTCCCCCTTTGTCTTCCCACCTAGTTGCTCTAGATTCTCTCAAGCTCTTCCCTCTTATCTTCTCCCCATGTTATCCTCTCCAGTCATGTCATCACGTTCATGGTCGCCATATTCCAAGAACATTCCAAGTCGTCGAAGTTCAAGTCATCACGTTCCAAATCTTCTCACTCCAAATCCGGTCAATCCTGTTGGCACCATTTGATTGATAGATATTTGAAGTTGACTTTTGGTCATGTTTTCGTGCTACCCATTATATATTCGTGTTTGACTGGCGTGCGTTTGCATTGTTGTTTTGTGTCCTGATTTTTCATGTCGTGTTGCTTGTGTATGTGCGTGTGCATGGTACCATTGGTTGACACTGCATATCAGTTTGTTGGCTTGTGTTGCACGGTGTTGCGTTGTGTTGTGCTTGCAGAGGAAGGATGCTGACTATGCCTAGTGCATCACACAATTTGTGATTGTCGTTGCTGGTTTGAGGAATTGCTTCTCACTCCGTGCATGTCAATCTCTATTGTAGCACGAAAGCATTAATGCATTTCTTTCTTTGCAGTCACTATTGTACCGTTATTTGTTTGTAAGCACGTGTTGTACATTGTTGTGTATTGTGCATGCGTGCAGGAGAACGATGCCGACAATGCCTAGTGCATCATACAATTTGCGATTGTCGTTGCCGGTTTGGGAGCTTCTTCCTAAAATGTGCAAGTCAATCTCTATTGTTTCACTACATTCGCGATCGTTTTGTTGTATTGTATTGTTGTTGATCCGAGTAGTTGTATGGACGGTATGTGTGTTGGTAAGTTGCGCTATGTCTATGTGCTTTGAATGTGGTGGTGATGTTGTGGTTCCTATTATTCTCCGCCGTTATTATCGACGGCGAATGATTCGAGCCTCTCTCATCACTCTTAGAAAGCTTAGAAAAAGGTCACAAAACTCTATGTTGCTCAGTTATTATGTCGTCTGCATTATCGACCACATAATAATTGGGAAACATAGATTACGGTAGCAAGAAAGAACTTTTGAGACGCTACGTTTCTGAGTTATGGTAAAAGGAATCAACAAACAAACAATATGGTAGAGATTCTCCATTGGAGGATGTAAACATTCAGATTATAAATAACCTATTTTAGATGAAAAAAAGAAAGAAAAAAAAAACGTGTCATTAGAGTGAGCGAAACATTAGACCCGACAAAATATGTAGCTTGGGCTACAAGGCCGATTAAATAGAGTCGTCCGAGATCGGTCCACCGACCGATTGTAAAAGGTTGCTACGCAACCCAAAAATCAGGGTGACTGGATATCTGACTGGAGGAACTTGTGCAGAGTCACGTAGCAAGAACAGCTCAACAAGAAAAAACAATATTCAAGAGGACCTGGGACCAGGCCTGTCGATTCAAGGGCAAATGCCCTTAATGCCCTGAACATTCCGGGTAAGCCGTCCATCAGGGTCCAACGTTTCCGGGTCTGATTCGGGACTAGCCCGTGATGGTTAAGGGTTTCGTTCGGCCCATTCTCGGATTCGTTCAGGGCGGAGTTGAGGCCTTTCCTTGATTTTCCGTAACAGGTTCTATACATACCCTGACCTAGGCATACCTTCCTTGCCCACCCACACCACCCTACCTTTCCCTTCGGCTAGAATAATTTGGCTAAGTCCTCCAAACCAGAGACATCCCTCCCACATCCCACCCGAACTCAGAAAATTCCTCGAAGTCCCTCACACCTAGAGACATTCCTCCCACACTCCTCGCACCCGCAGAGAATCCCCCCAGCCAGAAAATTCCTCTCCCCCAGCTAGAAAATTCCTCCACATGACCTCAAAACTCATCAATATGACGCAGCAAAGGTCTCCACATTCCCACAAGTACCCTGGGACAAGCTCGTGTACGTGAGCAGAGTTGGCGGCGTGTCATGCAAGTTCACTTCAAAGCGTTTTAGTTATTTTATCTGTGTTTTAGAATAGTGGGTGTTTGAATTCGAACGGTTGTACAAGGTTTTGAGGAAACGAACTATGGACATTTTTTCTGTGGCTGCTTTTTGGGGACAAGCCCCTAAAGGGCGTGTCTCGAGTACACCCCTAAGTTCGTTTTATAAGGTCCGATTAGGTGCATCAAGTTTCAAAGCGTTAAAGCCTGAAAATCGACTCCCATATATATATATGTGTGTGCCAACGGTTTTGCTCACGCGCGCCCCGTGTGTCTCAAAACACATTTGGGACTTGTCGGGACTAGATCATTAAAACCGCGGTACACATTCAACGCGGCTTGGGGTGGCAATGCGGAGGTCAAGAAATTGGGGCTTAGATGATTGGAGGGCGAGAGGCGACATGAAAAAACTGACGCGAAATGGGGGGGACTTTCGTAAATGTGGGAAAAAAATTGCGTAGGGGGGAAATAGACTTGCGAGGGTTGGGGGGAACCAAAATTGGTTGGGGGGAGGGAGTTGGAATGGGGGGGAAACGGAATTGTGTAGGTTGGGGGTAAGAATTCCGAGGGTTAGGGGGAAACGGAATTGCGTTATTGTGGGGGGGGGGGGGGAGGAGGGCGGGAGGGGGGGGGGGAGGGGGGGGAGTCTGAAATTGCGAGGGTTGGGGGAAACAAATTTGAGATCGCCTTCGGAAGTTTGGACGACAACCAAAGTTTGGACAAGAAAGCTGGTTTCTCAATTTGTACACCTATTTACCTAGAAAACAACAGACCCCATGTTTTTTTTCCAGTTTACTATTTTCCAAAACCCAAGTCTCCATCTAAACGTGCACTGCAACAATGTGTTTCAGCGAGAAATTGGCGGAGTAGTCGAGTCTCTATAAATTGCTTCGGATTAGGGAATGTACAATTATTTGATCTTTAATAACACGAGTATACCTACGAATTAGACTGTCATCCCGTGAAAAGCGAAAATTTCCTCTCTTGTCCCGACTTCGGTTGTCGTCCAAACTTCTGAAGGCGACCTGACTTGGAGGGAAAGATTCGGAATTGCGAGGGGAGGAGGGGAACGGGGTTGTGGGGAAAGTGTCGGAATGGCGTGGGGTGGGGGGAACGAAATCATGGAAGGGGGGAAGGGCGTGACGGGGCAAAACTCCCCTGCGTGATTGTGGGAATTTCACTACACAATTGCCACATCTCGCTCTGTCAAAGGTTTACCTAGGCTGGCGAGATCACAACTTAAAGCGAGAAGCTATAATAATGACCCCCACTTCGAGTTGGACCCAACTCAAAATGGTTCGGATCAAGAGTGTATTGGTTGGAACCTTGTGAGGCGTGCTTTTTTTTTCCCCCGACAGTTCCTACATGGCCGACCCTTGGCGAAAAGATTACAAACGGACATTTTGCATGATTGTCGCATAACACAAATCACTCGCTACGCTGCGACAAAACTAGCTGCGCATCTAAAATTTGGAAGCCAAGGCACACCCTTCCTCGTCAGATGTCACTTCCAAGCCCTGCAAAGCGAAACATTTCACCAAAGACACAGTGCAAAATACCGGAGAAAGAGAGTGAGCGAGCCAATGCATTTTACATGAGTAAAGACAGATACGCGCGAGAGGTGTGGAGAGAGGGAGATATGGGGGGAGCGACGGGCGAGCGAGTGTGGCGCGGCGGGAAGGGAGTGTTATGGCGAGATGCTCGCTCCTCCTCTCTCTCTCTCTCTCTCTCTCTCTCTCTCTCTCTCTCTCTCTCTCTCTCTCTCTCTCTCTCATTCTCTCTCTCTCTCTCTCTCTCTCTCTCTCTCTCTCTCTCTCTCTCTCTCTCTCTCTCTCTCTCTCTCTCTCTCTCTCTCTCTCTCTCTCTCCCGCTGCGCCACTCTCTCCCTATTCTCACCTGCGCCTCTCTCCTTCTAACCGCGCCACTGTCCTCCACGCCGCGTCACTCTCTCACTCTCTCGCCGCGCCTCTCCCGCTAACGACGCCTCTCTCTCTCTCTCTCTCTCTCTCTCTCTCTCTCGCTCTCTCTCCCTCTCTCTCTCTCTCTCTCTCTCTCTCTCTCTCTCTCTCTCTCTCTCTCTCTCTCTCTCTCTCTCTCTCTCTCTCTCTCCCTCTCTCTATCGCTCTCTATCTCTCGCTCTCTCTCGCCGCGTCTCTCTCCGTCTCTCGCTGCGTCTCTCCCTCTCTCACCCGCGTTTCTCCCTCGCTCGCCCACGTCTCTCACTCTCTCACTGCGTTTCTCCCTCTCTCCCCGAGTCTCTCTCTCTATCGCCGCGTCTCACCCTTTCTCCCCGTGTCTCTCCCGCTCTCGCCACGTCTCTCCATCTCTGGCCTAGTCTCTCGCTCTCACGACGCGCCTCCCTCTCTCTGTCTCGCCCGCGTTTCTCCCTATCTCGCCCGCGTTTCTACCTCTCTCGCCCACGTCTCTCCCTCTCTCGCCGCGTTTCTCCCTATCTCGCCCGCGTTTCTACCTCTCTCGCCCACGTCTCTCCCTCTCTCACCCGCGTTTCTCCCTCTCTCGCCCACGTCTCTCCCTCTCTCGCTGCGTTTCTCCCTCTCTCCCCGAGTCTCTCTCTCTATCGCCGCGTCTCACCCTTTCGCCCCGCGTCTCTCCCTCTCTCGCCACGTCTCGATCCGTCTCTGGCCTCGTCTCTCCTGCTCACGCCGCGTCTCCCTCTCTCTTTCTCGCCCGCGTTTCTCCCTATCTCGCCCGCGTTTCTCCCTCTCTCGCCCACGTCTCTCCCTCTCTCGCCACGTCTCGATCCGTCTCTGGCCTCGTCTCTCCTGCTCACGCCGCGTCTCCCTCTCTCTCTCTCGCCCGCGTTTCTCCCTATCTCGCCCGCGTTTCTCCCTCTCTCGCCCACGTCTCTCCCTCTCACGCCCGCGTTTCTCCCTATCTCGCCCGCGTTTCTCCCTCTCTCGCCCACGTCTCTCCCTCTCTCGCCCGCGTTTCTCCCTATCTCGCCCGCGTTTCTCCCTCTCTCGCCCACGTCTCTCCCTCTCTCGCCGCGTTTCTTCCTCTCTCCCCGCGTCTCTCTCTCTAGCTATCGCCGCGTCTCACCCTTTCTCCCCGCGTTTCTCCCTCTCTCCCCGCGTCTCTCTCTCTATCGTCGTGCCTCACCCTTTCTCGCCGTGTCTCTCCCTCGCTATCCGCGTCTCTCCCTCTCTATCTCTCCCGCAGCGCCACACTCTCTCTCACAGTCCCTCGGCACTGAGTTTCTATGCGGTGGGGCAGCTAGCGGAACTAGCTTGATTTCTCGGCGATTGTTTGCTAGCGGGCTGTCACTTTGCGTGGGGAAGGTAGTGAATCCTCGGCAATTGTGAACCCAGGCCCAACTTGAAAAACGAGTTGGGCCCATCTCGATCCGAGAGCCCCAACCCGTCACTTGCACTCGCCGTGCTAGTGTCGCATCGAGAAGTGCGACCCCAGACAAGGATTCGTTATGAGATTTGCGTGTCGCGCATTTCGCCCTGCGATAAACATTTTGGCGGGACCCAATTAGCTTTGAGCTGAAATTTCGATCTGCCTACCCCCGCCATTTTGGAACAGTAATTTGTTGAGGCGTGGTTTCCAACTTGAGTCGCTCAGAGGGAGCCCTCTTTCAAGTTGGCCCAGCCTTCACTATTTTAACTTCTCGCTTTAAGAGGAAGAAACAACCGAGTAACCCTCTTTCAAATGTTTATCACTTGATCGAAATTTTGTTGAATGTGTACCGCGGCTTTAACATCTTGGAGAACGAACGGAACTCGTCGGTACTGATGTGTCTCGGGGTGGCATATATTTGCAGGGATACGCCATGCAATTGTGTTCATCTCGCAGTAATCGTTGGGCGACGGTAAGGACATCGCCAAGCAATATTGTTACATTGTAGCCGTCACAAGAGATGGTAACGCAATCGCACAGACTGTTGCAGAAATGTTTGAGACAACATTCCTCCGACGGTGTACCGTATTCCCCCAGATATACGCCACTAGGTGCGTATATGGATTATAGTAAAATTTTGGGGGGTGGTAATTGAATTAATTTCATATGGCACGGTACGAAATAAAGGGATTTATGGAAAATTCGGAACCTAACATGGAAATATAGCTCGAACAATTTCCAATCGGGTGGATGTGCTCCCAAACTGGAACGCCCCGAACAATCCCTCGAAAACTGCTCGAGAGCAGATTGGCACGCCATCTAGGTAGGATTGCTGCACTTTGCTAGCGAGCAAGGGTTGATCGCGACCATCCGTTCCTCTCTCATCACACAACAGTTGAGCAATGCTGACCAGATTTTGTGTGGTGAGGTGACGCGCATCGATTTCGTGTGAAGAAACGATTGGGTAGGCGCATCTCTCACTTGAATCTGACGGATAAAGCGCTCAACCCCAGTCAGCGCACTAAAAATATGGGGGTGCGTATAGGGATTAGATCCTGGGTAGAAGGGGGGTGCATATAACTGGCACCCCTTCGGATATACACACCATGGTGTGTTTAAGCCGGCGCTGCGTATATCGGGGAGAATACGGTACTCATCGCAAATAGGATGTTGTAGAAGTAATATCCTTATAAAGAGATTAAACTAAGGCCCAGGATGTTGTGAAACTCGAGAGAGTTTTTGTTAGTGAAAGACTTACAAATCCTCTACGGTAAGAATTTTATATTAGATAAGAATGATACGATGACCAGTGCAACAGATATACAGTAAATACTACGATAGGTGGTAATATGAAATAACCTCTGCAAGAAACCTTTTGAGGAAACCTCTTTCTGTAAGTAACCTTAGTATCGCAACTTCCATTGCAACCACTCATGTATGTGTTTGAACCTTGACTTGGGTGGTTGTTGCCACCTATATGAGGTAACTCGATACAGTGGATGTGCGCGTACTTTACCAAAGTTGGCGCGCTACTTAGGCAGGGACATTATCAAGAATGCTCCTACTATATGTTTCTTTTGTACAGCCTTTAACACTCCCTAAGAGTATTCTTCGGTATAGATATCACCACGTTTGACCATTACAACGGGGTATACGCTGTACTGGAATTTGGCATGCGACAGTTTCTTAGTTAAAACGTCTGCTGCCATTTCTTCTGGTTGGGAAGTATTTCATGACCACTTTGCATTGGTCGATTTCTTCCTTCACGAAGAAGTAATGAATGGTGATGTGCTTAGCTGACAAAGCCAGGCTTGTTTGCAATTCGGATGCACTTCGGCTGCCGTAGAGTAACTCGAAGTTGAAGCTTGCTGCAATATTTGCCTCTTGCAATAGCTCTCACAGGTAGAGTCTTTTGCGAACTGCTAAGCTGGCAATGACGAATTCCGCTTTTGCTAACGAAAGGGTGATAATCTCTTAGGCTGAGGCGAGAAAATGAACCCGTCCTTGAACGTCAGTTCTCATGATTGACTCCAGGATTTGCATTGACATTTTAGGTCAACGTGAGGGAGGCGGGGTCCAACTGTTGGAGAAAATACCGCAAAGCTCGACAAAGTTCGGCCATATTCTCCTCTTCAGGACGTCGCAAGTACTGTGCTAGCTGGTGACGAAGGTGAAATCCTGGCAACATGTTGTGGCTGTGAACAAGAGACACGCGAGCTGGTGTTGATAGAGTTGGTGTTCTTCTGCAGTTAGGGGGGTAGTTCTAAGCTCGTATCCAAGAGGGAAGCGATGAAAGGGGGTATTCACGCAGCTGCCGCACGGCCAAGGCATGCACCGCCTCTCCCGCAGCGACGACTACATGCTGCTAATCATGTACATCGACGACCTACTCTACATCGGCTCCACTCAGCCTTTTTCAAAGGGGAACTCCAAATGGACGTCATGATCATCGTCTCCCCGCGGTCATCCAGTACCGCAGACTCAACATCAGCAATGGCCTTGACAATATTCACCTCTCGGCGTCGAAATATGCCGAGAACATCACGGTCCGCTTCAACATCTCTTCGACCCCTACCGCTACGCCTTACCTCTACCCCTCCCCAATGACAGCGCCTTACCTCTACACCTCCCCAACATCTCTTCTGCCCCTACCTCTTGGATGCCGGCTCGCTCGCTCCAGCCGGCATCCAAGAGTACCAGCAGAAGCTCGGCTGCCTGCAGTTCGCCGCCGTAACCTGCCGACCAGGCATGTCCTACTCTGCAAGTCAGCTTGCTGTACTGTACCTTAAGTGGCCTGCAGTGGGGAATCTGGAGGAATTTAATTGCATGCTTCTCTACTTTGTCTCCACCCCTATTACCGGCCTCACCTATCACAAGAACGTCACCACCAAGACCGAATCAATGGGTTACGTCGACGCCGACCACGCCGGCGACAAGGACAACAGGCGCTCCCGTACCATCTATGTCTACCATCTAGAACCTATTGACGCAATCTCCTGGCACTAGGGAAAGCAAGAAAATTTGTCCACCATTTGCTGAAGCTGAATGTATCGCCCTCTACACACAGTGATGGAAGAAACTGTCAATATCTTGACCCTTTGAGAGGTTAAAATGCGTGTGTATTTTCAATACAGACTCTTAGAAACAGCTGGCTTTAATTTACTAGTGGACTGCCTCCTGAGCAATAAGAGCACATGTCATGCAGCCTAAAAGGGCATGTTTATTATGCAAAACCAGCAACAACATTCACCAAGTAGTATTCGGACAGTTTTGGCCAGATTTAAAGAAAGCAATTAACAATCCAAAATCAGTACCTAGTCCATCTCCCCTTAGCCCTAACCACTGCCTTCACCCTCCTCAGCATACTGTTAATGAGCCCCCTGCACACATCCGCCCCAATCCCATCCCATGTCTCTTGCACCCGCTCCCAAGTCTGGAGCATCCCTGTGGGGGGACGCTCATACTTGGCAAGCTCTCTTTTGAGGTGTGCCCACAAGTGCTCAATGGGTTTGAGATCAGGGGAGGAGGAAGGCCACTCTAGGACTGAATACTGCTGCTCAGATAGCCAAGCTTGCACAAGGCGGCTCTTGTGCTTGGGGTCGTTGTCATGCTGGAAGATGACATTCGAGGGGGTTAGATTATAGAAATTGATGGTTTGTGCAAGCTCATCATGCAATATGCTTCTGTATAGCTCCCCATCCATGCGGCCGTCAATCTTACACATATATCCCGGGCCATCATATGTCATGCACCCCCATACCATTAATGACCCGCCCCCATGCTTGACGATTTGCTGCACTTGGTGACCTTGCAGGGCCGCCCCGTCGCGTATCCACTCGTACTTGCGGCCATCACTGGAAAAGTGATTGATCTTGGTCTCGTCGGACCAGATCACCCGCTTCCAGTCTTCCATAGTCCAGTCAAGGTGCGCCTTGGCGGAATCGAGGCACTCTCTGATATTACAGGCAGAAAGACTCGGCTTCTTCGGTTTCTGGACGGCTACTAAACCAGAATGCTTCAGGGTGTTGCGCACGGTTCTAGGGCATATCTTGATGCTGCGCTCTGATTCTAGTAGTTTCGTGGCCTCTATGCTAGTCTTCGCATGGCCGGAAGTGACTGCTCGAACCAGTGAGCGCCTATCACATACCGAGAGCATGCACGCTCGGCCGTTCCTAGGAACAATCGGCCTGACCGCTAGGCTGCTCGTGCGCTGGGCGGCTTCGTGTGCGTATTTCTGTACCATGCTCTTCCCTATTCCTAATGCCCTAGCAATTTGTCAAAAACTCTGACCCTATCGAAGCAGGGTCGCGATCCTATCTTTATGGCTCAAAAGAAGCGGTCGCATCGTTGCTAGGAGCTTGGCGTGGTTGCCGCTGTACTATCGAGAAAAAAAGGGAAGCTTAGGTTGCGAGATCGCGAAATGCAGGCAGGAAATAGATCTGGACTCGATGTTGGCATAAAGTGTCCGCATCGAGTGACGCCCACATATTATTGCACTCTTTACAAGAAACTCGATTAAAGTTACAACACCCAAATGCATTAAGCAGCTGAGGTCAAGAGGCACACTATGCAATATGGTGTGGTCGAGTTATGACAACATATCATGCCTAAATCACAATGTCTATCTAGTGCAATGGATGATTTAGCCCATTTATTTCCGTTACTGTAGCTAAAAAGAAGGACCCTACATGCGCGAGCTACTGGAAGAAGCAAAGATCGCCAATGTACCCAGCCTTTCCCTCTTCTGCGAGAATGGGTCAGCGATCAAGATCGCTAACAAAAGTGGCTTCACGAACCGAACGAAGCACATCTAGTTTCGCTACTTCTTTGTAAAGGTATTGTCATATTGATCTGCCTGTTACTTAAAAGGAAGTCAACCTGTTGATGCGGAAACTCTTGTGGGTGTTGCTGTTGCTGGCATTGAGCCTGCTGCTGAAACTGTTGTGGCTGTTGCTGTTGCTGGTATTGAGATTGCTGCCAAAACTGTTGTTGTGCTTGTTGTTGTTGCAGATATTGTAAATGGTGTTGTTGAGCAGGTGTAAACGCGAACGAAAAACTGGAGCTTGGAGCGGTTGCATCTCTTGCATAACTAGATCCATCAAGACTCATGCCATTAAAGGCCGCTGTTACTGACGCTTTTGCTTGTTGTGCTGGTGCTTGTTGATGTGATGCTTGTTGCGGTATTGGAGGTGCAAAGGACGAAGTCCCCGGTGGATGCACAGCAAGCAACCCTTGTTGCTGTTGAGGCATCCCAATTAAAGCATATGCAGCTGGAAAAATTCAGCTGCTGCTGTATAAAAGCTGTAGGATTTGTAACACTTGTGGGTCCAGTTGCTGATCAGTACACAGATGGTTTGCTAGTATGGAGGAACCAGTTGTTGGAGCTAACGCTGGTCCACTCATTTGTAGAGTTGACGATAGTCTTTGTTCCAGATAGCTCTCATACCATGTATTAATTTGTAAAAGGGTGCATGAGACTAACTATAGAATCTGCAGCCACAAGTGCATGAAGTAGAAAAGAATACTGAAGTACCTCTAGTAACAGTCAGCATTAACATGTTGTAGCACTTAGAATTAGTGTTGTTGTCTTGTGATACTTCAGGACTTGAGAAAGGATCTTTGCTGGAATAGTAGACTAGTAAGACAACGGAAGTCTTAGAACTTGTGAGTGGTGTCCAACATTTACTTGAAGAACAAGTTGATAATAAAGAGAGACAAGCTACTTTTATACATCTGCCAGAAGTACCTGTTCGGTAATGTAACTATTTAAGACTATTCGCGCTATGCGCTTTAATCGCTACTGAAAAAGGGCGAAAATGTTCGCGTGACTGAAACGGCCTGCTGACCAGGGCTTCAGATTGGATCTGGAGGGGCTGTTGGCTCTGGGTGTCCCCAGCAGGAACCCCCGTTTTTCAGGGTCGGGTTTGAAGTTGCATATTTTGTCAGGGTATTTTTTTCCGAAGGCTGAAAGATCAGGACTAAAAATTTGAAGGGCTGAGATGATAGAGTTCCACCTCTGCGATTTTTTAGGGTGGGTTTGATTTTGACCTAGCACGATGTGTTAGACACATCTTTGGCTTGTTTCTTTCAATGTTCTCATGGTACACATGGCAGAATAATAGAGTTTCAGAAACCCACAACCTACGGTGCTGCTGCTACTGCCTTTTGT